TTCTCCTCAATGGGAGCCAAATGCAGGCTTATCCCATCATCTCCCCCTCAGTCATTTCATCCTCACAGCAACTACCTGGTGAGGCAGGTTAGGCTGGGAGAGAATAAGTGGTAGCACAGTGCCGTTCTAGGGCATCCTGGGGATCCGAATCTCGGTCCTCTTGCCTGAGGGTACTGATGGCGCAAGAATTAACTTGCTCACTAAAGGTCAATCAACAACATTTATTAAGACTGGAAGATCAGCCAACAGCAGTTTACCAGTGGAGTTCACATTTTGTTGTTCAGTCGCACAGTCGAGTCCGACTCTTCACAACCCCATGGACCAGCTCCCGCCAGGCCCTCTTGTCTTCCGCTGTCCTCTGAAGTTGGCTCAATTTCATGTTCGTTGCGTCGATGACACTGTCCAACCATCTCATCCTTTGCCGTCCCCGTCTTCTTTGACCTTCAATCTTTCCCAGCATCAGGGTCTTCTCCAGTGAGTGCTCCCTTCTCATTTGGTGGCCAAAGTATTTGAGCTTCAGTTTCATTATCTGGCCTTCCCAGGGAACAGTCAGGGTTGATTTCTTTTAGGATTGACTGATTTGATCTTCTTGCAGTCCAAGGGACTCTCAAGAGTCTTCTCCAGCACCATAGTTCAAAAGAATCTATTCTTCGGCGCTCGGCCTTCCTTATAGTCCAACTCTCGCAGCCATACATGACTACTGGGAATACCATTGCTTTGACCATGCGGACTTTTGTTGGCAGGGATGTCTCTACTTTTTATCATGCTGTTTAGGTTCACCATCACTTTCCTCCCAAGGAGCAGGCGTCTTTTAATTTCATGACTGCTGTCACAGTCTGCGGTGATCTGGGATCCCAGGAACGTGAAGTCTGTCACCACTTCCACGACTTCCCCTTCTATTTGCCAAGGAGTGATGGGGCCGGATGCCATGATCTTAGTTTTTTTGATGTTGAGCTTCAAGCCCACTTTTGCGCTCTCCTCTTTTACTCTGAGCAAGAGGCTCTTTAGATCCTTTTCACTTTCAGCCATTAGAGTGGTATCATCTGCATATCTGAGGTTGTTGATCTTTTCCCCAGCAATCTTAATTCCCGCTTGTGATTCATCCAGGCCAGCATTTCGCATGATGTACTCTGCATATATATTAAATAAGCAAGGTGACAGTATACATCCTTGTCGTACTCCTTTTCCTATGCTGAACCAATCAGTTGTTCCGTATCCGGTTCTAACTGTCGCTTCTTGGCCCTTATACAGGTTTCTCAAGAGACATGTGAGGTGGTCTGGTACTCCCATCTCTTTAAGGACCTGCCATAGTTTGTTGTGATCCACACAGTCAAAGGCTTTAGCATAGTCAATGAAGCAGAAGTAGATATTTTTCTGGTACTCTCTTGCTTTCTCCATAATCCAGCGAATGTTGGCAATATGATCTCTCGTTCCTCTACCTCTTCGAAACCCAGCTTGTACTTCTGGTAGTTCTCTATCCACGTACTGTTGAAGCCTAGCTTGTAGGATCTTGAGCATGACCTTGCTAGCGTGTGATATGAGTGCAATTGTGCGATAGTTTGAACATTCCTTGGCGTTGCCCTTCTTTGGGATTGGAATGTATACTGATCTTTTCCAATCCTGTGGCCACTGTTGCGTTTTCCAAATTTGCTGGCAAATGGAGTGCAGCACTTTAACAGCATCATCTTCTAAGACTTTGAATAGCTCAGCTGGAATACCATCACCTCCACTAGCTTTGTTGTTAGCAATGCTTTCTAAGGCCCATTTAACTTCACATTCCAGGATGTCTGGCTCAAGGTCAGTGATTATACCGTCGTGTTTGTCAAGGACATTGAGGTCTTTCTTGTATAGTTCTTCTGTGTATTCTTGCCATCTTTTCCTAATCTCTTCTGCTTCTGTTAGGTCCCTACCGTTTTTGTCCTTTATCATGGCCAGCTTTGCATGGAACGCTCCCTTGATTTCTCCAATTTTCTTGAAGAGATCTCTAGTCCTTCCCATTCTATTGTTTTCTTCTATTACTTTGCACTGTTCATTCAGGAAGGCCTCCTTATCTCTCCTTGCTGTTCTCTGGAAATCTGCGTTCAGTTGGGTAAATCTTTCCTTTTCGCCTTTGCCTTTCGCTTTCCTTCTTTCCTCTGCTATTTGTAAAGCCTCATCAGAAAGCCATTTTGCTTTCTTGCATTTCTTTTTCTTTGGTATGGTGGTGATTGCTGCCTCCTGTACGATGTCACGAACCTCTGTCCATAGTTCTTCAGGCACTCTATCTATCAAATCCAGACCCTTGAATCTATTCTTCACCTCTACTGTATATTCATCAGGGATGTGATCTAGGTCAAACCTGAATGGCCTCATGGTTTTCCCGATTTTCTTCAGTTTAAGTCTGAATTTTGCAATGAGTAGCTCATGATCTGAACCACAGTCAGCTCCAGGTCTTGTTTTTACTGACTGGATAGAGCTTCTCCATCTTTGACTGCAAATTATATAGTCAATCTGATTTCGGTGTTGCCCATCTGGTGATGTCCATGTGTAGAGTCGCCTCTTAGGTTGTTGGAAAAGGGTGTTCGCTATGACCAGTGTGTTCTCTTGACAAAACTCTGTTAACCTTTGCCCTGCTTCATTTTGCTTTCCAAGGCCAAACTTGTCTGTTATTCCAGTTACCTTTTCACTTCCTACTTTAGCATTCCAGTCCCCTATGATGATGAGGACATCATTTTTTGGTGTTAGTTCTAGGAGGTGTTGTAGGTCTTCATAGAACCGGTCTACTTCAGCCTCTTCTGCATCAGTGGTTGGGGCATAGACTTGGATTACTGTGATGTTGAATGGTTTGCCTTGGAATCGGACAGAAATCATTCTGTCATTTTTGAGATTGTATCCCAGTACTGCCTTTTGCACTCTCTTGTTGACTATAAAGGCCACACCATTTTTTCTACGAGATTCCTGGCCACAGTAGTAGATATAATGGTCTTCTGAGTTAAATTTGCCCATTCCTGTCCACTTTAGTTCACTGATTCCTAGGATATCGATGTTCAGTCTTGCCATCTCGTTTTTGACCACGTCAAGCTTATCTTGATTCATAGATCTTACATTCCAGGTTCCTATGTAGTATTGTTCTTTGCAGCATTGGACTTTCCTTTCACCATCAGACACATCCACAACTGAGGGTCCTTTCGGCTTTGGCCCAGCCGCTTCACTCTTTCTGGGGTTACTTGTACTTGCCCTCTGCTCTTCCTCAGTAGCATATTGGACACCTTCTGATCTGAGGGGCTCATCTTCCGGCGTCATATCTTTTAGCCTTTTGTTACTGTCCATGGGGTTTTCTTGGCAAAGATACTGGAGTGGGTTGCCATTTCCTTCTCCAGTGGATCACTCTTGGTCTGAGTTCTCTGCTGTGGCCTGTCCGTCTTGGGTGGCCCTTCACGGCATAGCCCACAGCTTCATCGAACCGCTCAAGCCCCCTCGCCACGACAAGGCAGTGATCCATGAGGGGGAGGAGTTCACATAGGTAAAGGTAAAGGTTTCCCTTGCTCGAAAGCCAGTCGAATCCAACTCTAGGGATGCAGTGCTCATCTCCATTTCCAAGCCAAAGAGCCAGTGCTGTCCGAATACGTTTCCATGCTCACATGGCTGGCATGACTAGATGCCGAGACGCACAGAACCTTCCCACCAAAGCAGTCCCTATTTATCTACTTGCAATTTCTTGCTTTCGAACTGCTAGGTTGGCAGGAGCTGGTAGCTCACTCTGTCATGCGGCACTCGGGTTTCGAACTGCTGAACTACCGACCTTCCGGTCTGCAGTTCAGCGTCTTAACCACTTGAGCCACCACAGACTTTTTGGACTTGACATACAAATATAAAATTTATGCAAGGATTAAAATCTATAGGCTTATATAGGTTTAATTAATTATACGTAAAAAGTTATTAAAAGGTTTCGAATATCTTGTTTTCTTATGGTCAAAGCCTCAGCACAGAATTTGGCCACTTTAGAGGTGGTCTCATTAGATAAATCTGCAAGGAAGAGGTGTGTATAGAATTTATCAGATCTTCCCGAGAACTTGGATAGAACAGGGTGAGAGATGTGGAACAAACATTCTCATAAAATGGGCAGTATAATAACAAGCTGTGATCTATGGACAACTGAATAATGAAATCGGGAACGGCAGAGAGTGGAGGCCTGGATTTGTTAAACCCACGCTGTGGTAATCACAAACCTCACTGTAAAATTAATAGGGCAAAGGGAGGAAATAAACACAAGCCCGTTCATTGTTTGGGAAACCGGATCCTTATGAATGACATCCATGTACTGTAGAAATCCCCAAGGAAGCTCTGAAAGAGGAGCTCGGTTTGTTTTTCAGAGGGCTGAGGATGGATGGGTCTAATCAACCAAGCTGGTTCCCAAGATCAGATGTTCATCGTGTTCAATCATGCTATTGTCAATGCTATAGACTCCAGCGTCCATTATTGTATCAGTTGTGAGTCTAAACATAATGTTGGGGGGGGGGATTGTATGGTCAGCATAAGTTTAAAAACGAGGGTTGCCGCAGTTTGCCGATGTGTTGGTTGGGCTGATTAACTGACAAGCTTTTTAGTAACAATAGACACCCCCTCCCAAAAAAAGAGCAACGACTATTTCTAGCTTCAAAATGCAAAAAATGATTTAGAAACAGTCTGTTTAACAGAATGAGTCTATCGATTAAAAAAAGTAATAAATTCAAGCTCTGTAGTTAAAATCTTTAAAGATCAAACACTAAGAAAGGGCTGTGGATATTCCCTGGGGTTGTTATTTATTTGGTACATATTTTTTAAAAAAACCACCCTAAAATTCTATTGCAACAAGCAAAGCAAATTTATTGATTTAAAATTTCAAAGCTCAGGGAAAACTATTTGCTGCGTGTGTGTCCCCCCCCCCGTCCCTTTTCTAATCCAGCTGCTTTAACTCCAGTAAACAAGAGGAGCAATGCCCCCAAGCCTGAGGATATTTCTCTTATTGATGTTCACAAATCATGTCAAGACTGCAAGTCGTCAGAACGTCAGTCAGGGTAAGATAATTTTGTTTTCTGAGTTCAGATATACTGGGGGAGGGGGAGTATATTAAAACTCCAGGGATATTAAAATAGTGATACTTAGGAACAGAAGTATTGGATGCCTTTCGAAGTTATCTTTGTTGGCATGACAGGAGGTATGGTTGCCAACTCTGGCCTGGGGAATTCTGGAGATCTATCAGTGCTGCCTGTGGACGGGGGAATTTGGAGAGGGATTTCTCCTAGAATCTCTGGTAGACCATAGAGTTTGCTCTCCGAAGCAGTCTGGAGATCAGTTGTAATTCTGAGAGAACTCCAGGCTCCACTTGAAGGTTGGAAACCCTCACAGAAGAATATATGACTTACCAAAGGTGAAAAGGAACCTCCATGAAAAGGAACCTCTGAATACTAGCTGTTGGGGTGGTAGCAATGGGAGTGGAGTTGGCCTTCACGCTTTGTGTGTAGACTTCCTAGAGAGCCAGTTTGGCGTAGTGGTTAAGTGCACGGACTCTAATCTGGGAGAACCGGGTTTGATTCCCTACTCATCCACTCGCAGCTGCTGGATGACCTTGGGCAAGCCATAGTTCTGGCAGAGCTGTCCTTGAAAAGAACAGTTTCTGTCAGAGCTCTCTCAGCCCCACCTACCTCACAGGGTGTCTGTTGTGAGGAGGGGAGGGGAAAGGAGTTTGTAAGCCGCTCTGAGACTCCAAGTGAAGGGCAGGGTATAAATCTAATCTCTTCTTCTCTTCTAATTGTCTTCCAATGGAAACAGGATGTTAGATTCGATGGGCCTTTGAGCTGATCCTTCTGGGCTCTGCAGAGTTGTTAATGGTTTAATGACTTGCATTACATGCAAGAGAAAAATATCTTAAGATGCACTATTTGTGTTTTTTCGTATACTGTGTTTTCTTCTTTTAATGGGAACTGGCATAGTGTAGTGCAGGGGTCCCCCACCTTTCTGAGGATGTCTTTGGCATTCTGACACAAGATAGTGGGCAAAACCACAAAATGGCTGCCATAGGGGGAGGGGAGCCACACGTACACACATAGGAAACCTAAGTGCAGGGGGAAAAGATGAGTAACTTTTTTAAAATACACTTGGAAAGAGGTGGGAGGGAGAGAGAATACAACCAATGCTGTGTTGGCAGCTGCCACCAAATTATCTCTGGTGGCCAATCTCCAGAGCCAATTATCTCCAGTGGCCAATCAGAAGCCCCACTGGGCAGGACCCCCCCCCCCGGCTCCACCCATGTTCTAAAAATACTTGGTGGGTGTCAGGATTACTGTCTGCCGGCACAATGCTGGGCACCCCTGGAGCAGTGGGTAAAGTGTTGGACTAGTATCTGGGAGACCCAGGTATGAACCCAGCTCAGCCATGGAAACTTGCTCGGAAACCGTAGGCCAGTCACACACTCAGCCTAACCTATCTTGTGCCATTATTTTTTGAGAGAATAAAATGGAGACGGAGAATGTTGTAAGCCACTTTGAGATGTGGGGAGAAAACAGGTTTGAGCAAAGTAAATAAATAAATGAGGTAATCAGTTAAATTGTCCGATTACAGGCTAGACATTATGAGTTCTTAACCAGAAAAAAATAGTTCCCAGGGATGAAGGGTTGTTGCAGGAGAGTGTTACCAAAGTTCAGCACCATCCTAAGCTTCTGCCATAGGGTTTTCAAAGCAGAAGATGAACAGAAGTGGTTTGCCATTTCCTACCTCTGCGTAAAGTTTGAGTCCAGTGGCACCTTTAAGACCAACAACGTTTAATTCTGGGTATAAGTTTTTGTAGGCACGTATGATTATTTTCGTGCATGCACACAAAAGCTTATACCCAGAATTAAGCTTGGTTGCGATCACACGCACCTTTAGTTCCGACATAGCTGCAAATGCCTGATGGATCTAAAGGGAACTATCAGACAGCAACATCTGGGAAGCGTCCCGCAGTCATCAGCAACCCAAATCTGTACCCTCCATTCCCTAAAACTCATACAGAACATTATTCCGCCTTGTTTTATCCATTTGTAAGTTGGCTTTCATTCACTTTTTCCTCCTAGATCTGCCTCCACAACTACAAAGGACTGTGGTCAGTGTTTGTATTTTTTACTTGATTATTTTCAACCCGTATTTCAGCATCGCTCTGTTTTTATTCTTGCACTGATTCTGATTTGCTCTGTTTGATTTGCTCTTAGGAAGATGTCATTGCCGGAAAGTATCTCAATGGTAATTGGACAATATTTAGTTTTGAGGTTTTTAAAACTTTCCTTTCGTGGTACAAAATTTAACTTTTGGGTATGTCTTCTTTTGTTTAGCTTTCCTGGACATACTTCATTTTCAAAGGTAAATGCATGTTTAGGGTCCTACATACTGGAATTAGACAGTAATAAGCAGAGAGGTGTATAAGGGTGGAGATTTCCATAAAACATATTATGATAAACGCCTCCTTATCACACTGTAGCCCACAAGCCGGGCTGGAGTTGGGGCTGTCATTGCTGGGCAGGTGTCTAAGCCTTCGGAGAGTCCACTAGTAGCCCCCTAGCTCCCCAGGGCATAACAGCAGCACTGCTGCCAGGGAGAATTTTATAATCTGGGGATAGGATCTGGGCCTGAGTATAAACCCACCCAAGCCTGATGCCATCGATCCCCTGGAATTAGAGCTCATCTCCAGACTACAGAGATCAGTTCCTCTGGAGAAAATGGCTGCTTTGGAGGGTGGACTCTATGGCATTGTCCCCCACTGAGGTCCCTGCCCTCTCAATGGGTCCACCCCCAGAAGTTTCCTGATCTGGATCTGACAACCCTACCCCCCATCCCCCGCCAGTGGTCAGGGGGGACCTGGCAACCCTGGACTGGATTGATCACTGAGGTAAAACTGACATGTATAACATGAACACAAAATTTATTTTAAAAGCACACATATAAACGGAAGTAAATATCAACGATGTCTATTGTTGGGCTGTGCTGTGTACATGCCTCAGGGAAACACTCTCCTAAGGAGGTTAATATCATTTCACCACAACCTCTGTTGCCTCTTAGGTATGTCCCAGGATCAGCAAAATCCTGCTGACCTCCTGCAACACTCCATTCCCTCAACAAAGAAACTGAACCACAGATCTTTTCTCCCGTCAGATCTTTACATTCCTGTCAGCTTGACCCTCCAAACCTTCTCTCAGCCTTAGCATCCTAACTTCCCCCCATCAGCTCCTAAGTCCACCTATTCCTGTAGGAGCTTATTGGCTGCTGTGTCTCTTGGGCACCTTTCTTAGCTCTACCTGTCACAACAACTAAAAGATGTCACGGGTGCTGTCCAGTAGGCACTAGCCAGTGTAGGCCCATGACGTACTCATCTAGGTTGTTTGATAACTCTTCAGTGTTAAAGGTAAATAGTATCTAATTATAACAAAACTGCTGAGTTATCATGAAAACGTGCTTGTTGTATACATATTTTATTTTCCATATAAATAATCTAATGTACTGTTTTCCTTTTTTCGGCCTCTGTTTTCTTCTACAGCACTAATATCTGGACCACAGATATACTTAACAAAATCATGGCGTATTTCCACTCTCGGAATATTGTAATTACTTATAACAGCCTACAGGTGTGTGTACATACAATAACAGCATTTTTTTCAGGGGTTCAAATCAATTAAAGTACAGTATGTAGCAAACATTACAATAAACCTGAAAGGTGGCTCAGGATTTTTATCCCCATATTGCAGCAGGAGCTGGGGGCTGGAGTTAAGAGAGCATTTTACCCAAGGCTTCCACTGTGAGTTTGTGAAGGAGTCGAGATCTGAACCCAGGACATCCTGGTTTGTAGCTCAGCCACTTTGTCAAATCAGCTCTATAGCAGCATGTAAAAAATTGAAAGAAACATTTATAATTTGGTTAAAATGTATGTATTTCTTTGTTACAAGATTTATATCCTGCCTTTCAACGCAATCAGGGCCACCAAGGTAGCTTAACATTTAAACATTGTGAAGCTAAACTGGCAGTTCTGAGAAACAATGTGAGGATGGTTTTAACCACGCTGGAATTCTATGAAGTTCATCCCGAAAAACAGATGGCTCTTTTATTTCTCGACACAGAGAAAGTGTTTGATAATGTGAGCTGGGAATACATAATGAGACAATTAAGGCTCTGGGAATGCGGGGAGATATTCTATCAAATGGTACAGATGATTTACCAACAACAGGAGGCGAAAGTAACATTTAATGGAGACGCAATGTCAAAATTTCAAATACAGAAGGGGACAAGGCAGGGTTGCCCACTGTCCCCTCTGTTGTTTATCTTTGCAAGAAGCACTTAATGATATAGTGAGATCTGATCCCTTAATTAAAGGTCTAAATGTTAAAGGGGAACAATTTAAACTCCAAGCGTACGCAGATGATTTGGTCTTTATTTTAGAAGAACCCCTAAGTTCGATAGACCAGCTCCTTCATATTTTACAATTATATGGACAAGCAGCAGGGTTAAAGATAAATTTTCAAAAATCTAAAATATTAACAAAAAAACTGTACAAAAGAAATTGATACGCTAATACAAGAAAAGTCGGGATTTGAAGTAAGCAAAAAATTTAAATATCTAGGGGTCCTGTTAACAAAGAAATGTAGCTCATTATTTGAAGATAACTACAAAAGAACCTTGTTAGAAACCAAAAAATATTTGGAAAGCTGGAAAGGTAGTGAGATCTGATCCCTTAATTAAAGGTCTAAATGCCGGAGCTCATTAGCATAACTCATTAGCATAACTTATTTGCATATGCCACGCCCCCTGACATCACCGGAAGTGACAGAAGGCCACACCCCCTGACATCACCGGAAGTGTGTCAGAAGGCCCGGCTACTTACCTTCCTGCTTCATCCTCATTTGTAAAATGTTAAAGGAGATTATTGATGATTCAATACCATTAAAACCAGAATTGTTTCTGCTTAATATACCAGAGGTATATAGAAAAGTAGGAAAAAAATTGATGTTACATTGTATCAGGAGTCATTTCGTAGAAAAAGAGCTAGGGGAACTCATTAGCATAACTCATTAGCATATGCCACACACCCCCAAGGCCCTCCCTGGCCCCAGGCAGGCAGGGGTGGGAAGAGGCGGGGAGGAAGCAACTTACCCTCCCTCTTCTCCTGCCTCCTCCTGGCTGAATGAGGCCTGGAAGCGGGGCGGCCGGAAGCAGGGGGCGGGGCTTCGTCATGTGCCCCGCCCCCTGCACCTCACCAGGGGGAACTGCGTTCCCCCGCGTTCCCCCCCGAAATGACCTCTGCATTGTATAACGGCAGCTAGAATATGCCAAATACTGGAAAACAGATAAAGTTCCAGACAGAAGTTGTACAAAAACTGTATCAAAAGTATCATATATGTTAAAAGGGAAAGATTAATCTATTTTTGAAAAAAATTGGATTAAACTGTATAATTGGAAATTGAGCCTGAAGGGTTAGGCCAAAAAGTTTGGTTATAGAGTATGGAAGACAAGGCTACTGTAAGCTCTTCCACAGCAAGTTTGTATAAACTATTGATTTTCATGGCTTTGAAGAAAATGTAATTAAAATATAATTTAAAAAACACTTAAACATTGTGAAGCTAAACTGACATCTGTTGCTTGAAGTAGTTGGAATGAAGACCTACTGGGCTGGATCTTGCAGATTTGTTCCACTAATGGATGTGCCTTCCGCTGGTGGAAGAGGCTTCCCCCGAGCGGCCTTTGCATAGGATGGGATGAGCCAAGTGTCCTTGCTGTGCCGTTCATTTCGGCTCAACGTGCACAGGAAACCTGGGGGGCTGAGTTTCTCTGCCCTTCAAGGACTATGAATTTAGGACTGGTGTGCAGTGAACTGTAAGGAGCTGCGGTGGCTCAAGTGGTTAAGACGCTGAACTGCAGGCTGTGGAAGGTCAGTAGTTCAGCGGTTCAAGACCCGGGTGCCGCATGACAGGGTGAGCTCCTGTCTCTAGTTCCAGCTCCTGCCAACCTAGCAGTTCGAAAGCAAGAAATTGCAAGTAGATAAATAGGGACCACTTCGGTGGGAAGGTAACAGCGTTCCGTGCGCCTTGGTGTTTAGTCATGCCGGCCACATGACCACGGAAACATCTTCGGACAGCGCTGGCTCTTCGGCTTTGAAACGGAGATGAGCACCGCAACCCTAGAGTCGGATTCGACTGGCTTTCGAGCAAGGGAACCTTTACTTTACCTTTACAGTGAACTGCATCCCACTGTTGAGCATTCACTATTTGTCATGATTTCTCTTATCAGTGCTGGAACATTAGTAAGTTATTTATTTCTTTATTCTCTCGATGTATATCCCACCCTTCCCACAGGGGGCTCAGGGCGGGTCACAACAGTAAATTCCAATACAATCTTAAAATTATTCAGTTAATTAGATAACAAACATTAAATGAATACAATAAAATCAGTTAAAACCAGTTAAAGGGGGCAGTGCAGCAATTTCCAATTTTCAGTTCCTACAGCTGGGAATGAGTGGGCCAGAGCCTAGACATAAAGGTCTCGTTAACAACAGCATACAAGAACAGGAACAGGGAGGCCGGTTGGTAGATGCCTCAACCAAAGGCCTGGTGGAACAGCTCCGTTTTGCAGGCCCTGCAAAACTGTAACAGGTCCTGCAGGGCTCTGATCTCAGTCAGGAGTCTCTTTCACCAGGCCGGGGCCAGGGCCAAGAAACCCCTAGCCCTGGTTGAGGCTAGGCGAGCATCTTTCAGGCTAGGGACAACTAGCAGATGGTTATCTGCAGAGCACAAGACTCTCTGGGGCACATAGGGGGAGAGGTGGTCCCGTAGATAAGTCGGTCCCAGGACGCATAAGGCTTAGACCGATTTCCCACAGCCGCTGCTCTGCGCTCGCTCCTCGAGTGGGAAATTGACACGTACCATCAGGGCAAAGAGAGGAGCGAGCGCAGAGCAGCGGCTGTGGGAAATCGGTCTTAGTGTAGCCCACTGGTTCCCAAAGTGGGCAATACCGCCCCCTGGGGGGCCCTGGAATGATCCAAGTGAGCTGGAATGATCCAGGTGCAGATCCACAAACTGCAATTTTTTGTCCACTTCTTGAAGAAAGATTTCCAGGGGGGCACTGAGCAATGTTCCCTCTAAGCTGTGGAGTCCTGTGAACAAAAATTCTACTTTGTGAGCTGCTGGCATTAAAGTTGTGAGCGAGCGATTTGGCCACTGCATACATTAATTTGCTCTGGAGCCATCCTTCCTGAGCGAAGACAAAAAATGTGTGAGCTGGAGGCTAAAAAACTGTGAGCTAGCTCACACTAACTCAGCTTAGAGGGAACGCTGGCGCTGAGTAATTTTTTTTTCTGAAAAGGGGGCAGTAGGCCAAATAAGTTTGAGAACCTCTAGAACCGTACGTGAACATATAAACTAATACGATATGTCCCCTCCAGCATCTCATTCTTGTCTTTTCAGGGGTCTTTAAGGAATTACTTGGAGAGTCTCTTATACCACCCCAAAGTGTTGCTATCAGAGTTCCGTCAGATGGATCGTCGGCATTTTCAAACGGCAATGAAATATCTCTTTGAAAGCAAGCAGGTCCATTTGGTGAGTCTAGCCCAAGTGTCCCCAACGCCGTGCCACTGACACCTTTTTCTGGTGCCCACCAAGTGTTTTTTATGAAGTGGGTGGGGCCAGGTAGGGCTTTTGCCTACAAGGCTTCTGATTGACTTTTGGAGATTTGATTTGGCTGCGCAGGTTTTTTTAAATGTTGGCAACTTTGGCACAAGCTGCCACCACAAGCACAAGGATCTATACTGTGCTACTGATATTAAGCTATGGCGATAATTTTGTGACTGGCTCCACCTCCTGAGGCAGCCATTTTGTGGCAGCCATTTTGTTGCTGCACCCACCATGCCACAGGCTTAAAAAGGTTGGGGACCCGTGGTCTAGCCCATGGTAAGTGGAAACAACATCTGTCTTGGATAATAAGAAGACTCACCCAGATCCCCTTTTGCCTTACTCTTTGAGATCCTGTGAAGGAAATTGGTTCCCAACAATTTCTTGTCTGTTTGAAAGTTTGGTTTGGTTCAGGCTTCAAATCCGGCCTCCTTGTGGGTTAATAATACAGTTTATAAAAATAGCTTTGCTAAAGCTAGAGCATACTGACCTTGTGAAACTGCAGATAACACTCAGTTGCAGAGGGAGTCAAGGAGCCCAGTATTGGCTCCCAATTAGCCTCATTCCATTCAGTTCAGCACCTGTGAGAAAGGGGATGAATCTAGCTGCAGATGGTTTCATTTCTTCTCCCCCTGGTCAGACCATCACTTAGGCCATCTGGTTTTGCTATTGGCCTAACAATTTGGCTATACATCACCACCAAGGGACCCTATTGGTCTATAGGGCCTGAGACCACAAGGGTCCCCTTACCCATAAGAAGTAGGTTTCTAGTCTATTCTCTAGCCTGATGGTGTCTTCCTGAGCTCTGAACATGCAGTCACCCTCTTGCTTACATAGGGTTGCCAACTGGCACTTACCCTTCCAGCGGGGGACTCCAGTTCGGCTCCTGGTACGTGTGTGCGTGCACAAAGGAAAACCACATGCACGTCACAGGGAAGTGACGTCATGACACCGGGCATGCTGGGGGCGGGGCCACGACCATAGAGTTTTCCCTTGTATGCCCGTGGCCCCGCCCCCAGCATGCCCGGCGTAAAAACGTCACTTCCCTGTGATGTGCACGCTGGGGCGGGGTTCCCCCCGGGGCCCGATTCCGAACGGGCCTCTGGGGCAGGGGGTTTTCCGCCCCCCGGGGGGATTTGGCAGCCCTATGCTTACAGCAGCCATCTTGAGTGTTACTTGTGAGATCTCAGGAAAGAGCCACCTTGGATTCCTGGAACTTTAACTGAGAATGGTAACATCCAGAGCCTGTATACAATCTGTATACTGTATACAATCTGTATACTGAAAACTCATGAAGTATTAAACATTTTTAAAAGAATTTTGTCAAAGAAGTTCTGGAACTCTGTTCCAGCGTGTTCCCCCAGAAAAAAAACCCTGGCAAGTCTGACATTTGGAACCAATGTATTACAGTTTTAGTTAGCATTTGAATTTCCAGCTTTCTTATTTGAACCTCACAGTTTCTTGTTCCTGTTTAAAGTATTCTTGCACCTTAATAAAAATATATTTTAATTACTTTTGCAGTTATTTGCCTTCAACCTGACCGCAGACTAAATCCAGAGCCTAGACTGACTAACCACGTACCAGAGTAATAGCTTTTGTGAGAAACTCATTCTGTAAGCCCACCTTGCCGGGTAGACTTTCTTGTTTAGTCCTGGGAATGCCAGAGGCTTGCCTTTTGGCTTCTGACTGAGGGTAGTCAAAAGGGCTGGTGGCAGACTACCAGTGGTTTGTGAGGGGTCACACTCCAGAGTTTTGTAATTTTGTGTTCTGCAGCCCTTAAACAAAAGATTCTGGACCAGGACCTTTTGACAGATCCAACTAGCAACAAAAAAAATGTTCGTCGTTGTTTGTCGAGGGTCACCCGCTGAGCCCCATGAACATGAGCATTGGTTTCTAGGTCCTCCTAGTCCTGACATTCAAATAGATGAGAATGAAGAGCCTACATCTCATTCCATCCAGCCAATGCAAACCTTCTCCTTTCTTTGGAGACTGCGACCAAACAGCATCCTTTCCCCAATACAGAGAACCAACCCAAGCTTTCCTCTGCCCCTTCAATATGGATGATGCTTCACAAGGGCCCAGGAGGCATTACTTTCATGCCTCCAGAGAACAGCCATTCAGAAACAGCTGCCTGTGTCATAGGAGGATGCTTGGCTTGAAATTTTCTGATGTTTTGTGGAACGTTTTTAGTGATTGGCCCTTGTCCCCATGTAGGGTTGCCAAGTCGAAAATAGTACTTACCGGGGGACTCCCGGTCCGTGAAGCGCGCGCGCACCGCACGCACGTCACCAGGAAGTGACATTATGACGCCAGGCACGCTGGGGGCGGGGCCACGACCATCCGAGGGAAAACCATAGAGTTTTCCCTCGGATGACCATGGCCCCACCCCCAGCGTTCCCAGCGTCATAACGTCACTTCCTGGTGATGCGCACGCCGGGGTGGGGTTCCCCCCAGGGCCCGATCCGCCGCCAGCGGGGAACGGGCGTTTCCCCGCCCCCCGGGGGGACTTGGGAAGCCTATCCTCATGGCAGCCATTTTATGACTGGCCCGGTCCCTGTGGCAGCCATTTTGTGATGGTGCCCATCATTCTTTCTCAAAAATGTCAAAACTTCCAGCAGGCCCAAAAAGGTTGGGAACCATGACTATAGTCACTATACTACACTGGTGCCTTTCACACCAGCTCACTTCAGATTGTAGTCTCAGCAGCTCTGTTTTTTGTAAAAAGGGGGGGGGGGGAGGAAATAGCCTCTAGAAGGGAATCATGCTACTGAACACAAACATCTGCCCTGAGCTATGTGAACCTCAAAAGAAATGCACTGCATTTCTACATTCATTGCTACCAGTCCTTCCTAAATATTTTATTTAAGTACAGTGAAACATATTCTGTGTTTACAGGAATTGGGAAATATTGTCCTTGATCTAGCTGGGATAAGAGAGAAGATTTTCCAGAGTCCTGGAGGAAACAGGACCTTGTTCCTTATTACACTGGAAAGGTGCTTTCTGATTCTGAACTCCATGGAATGCGTGGATATATTAAGCCAAGTCTTGCGAGTTTCTTCCATGACTTACCTCCAGCTCCACACCATAGCAAGCCTCCCACAGGATCTTCAGGGAGATGCGTTTCGGAACCTGTAAGAATTTCGGAGCCTGCTTCTTTTGCTGTAAATAAGTAGTTACTCTAGACTGTAAAATGGGGCCTTGGAAGCCATTTTGGCTCTCGTATCTCTTTTGTTTGTTTTCAAAGGTCCTGGAGACTTTTGGCTAAACTAGCGCTAGTGAAAGAAAGGAACAGGAGTAATGCATCCGTCAATTGCCGCTTTTGTCTTTTTAGGTCAACGGTATTCAAAGACCTCTATGACAGAATAACAGCAAACGCACAACGAGCTCTTTATGAATGGATGACACAGATCCTGCAAAAATCCTATAATGCCAGCGGTAGGTTCAACAGAAGTGAACAATGGGGCTGCTGTCAACGGGGGCACACTCTGGTCGGGGTCTTCCTGGGAATAGGGGTTGTTCTAGGCATCACCTTGACACGAGGGCTGGATTGACCCTACCCGACTGGGCAGCCAGGACAAAAACATGCAAGGGAATGGACTGTGTTCTTCAGGTTTAGCATCCATCAGTTGGATTCTGTAGGATGAGATCAAGGCAGAGAGGAATTATTTTGATCTCTCAAGGCCTTGCTGGTAGCATAGACGGTGTGTAGCATAGATGGTGTGCACAAGGTTTGTACTGGGAGTGGGGAGACCTGAGTTCAAATCTCTGCTCTGCCATGATATTCACTGGATGATGGGGCCTAACCTCTCTCACGGGGTTCTCAGCCAGGGTTAGAGGCACCATCCCCTGAGATTAGGGTTGCCAGGTCCTTACTTAGTTCTGGTGAGGGAGGGGCTCCTCTCTGCATCCTGGAGTTTTTGGCACACATAGCACATGCACTGCAATGACGTCACCCAGAGGTGACATCATCATGCAGGGCACATTGTGGGGGGACGCTCTAGCCTTTTGGGGGAAACTCTATAGTAACCATAGAGTTTTTTTCTCAAATGCTAGAGGGTCCCCCCACAATGTGCCCTGCGTGATGACGTCACCTCCGTGTGAAGTCATCATGCCCGGGCATGTTGGTGCAGACGGGGCTGCTCGGGGGGTAGGGCTCCCCCCGCTAGCCAGCTGAATAGCAGTGGATTGGGGGCCTCAAAAACGGTGGAAAACCCACCCCCATCGGGGGGATGGCAACCCTACCTGAGGTGGGCCGGTTGCTGGGGCCAGGGCTTCTGGCAGAGTCAACTGCTGTCAACCCCCCTACTCACTTCTTTGCTGGTGCTCTGCCATGCTCCCTGCTACACACACTGCCCAGGGCCACTAGGGAAAGGTCTGCAGGTGGCAGTGAGCATAGGCGGTGGGAGAGCTCACAAGCAGCCAGCAGAAGGGTATACAGGCAGGTGGGAGGCATGCACATGGGTGGGAGGAAAGGAGGGTATGTGTGGGAGCCTGGTGGTGGTGGTAGAAGAGGGGGAGCCTGAGAACTCTATGCCCAAGGCCTTTCAAAACCTGGAACTGGCCCCGTTCTCAGCAGTTGGGATGAAACTGGGCTTGTCTTTCCTCCAAATAAACTACCAGTGTTAGGCAGTAAAAGCCATATTAAAATTGACACCTGTTCTATGCATAAGAGCGGTGTCATATAAATACCATTAAAATGGACATTGATATTGTAAAAGAAACAAAACAGGGAAACGGTTAAAGAAAATGGGCTGGATGGAAATGCTTGCAGTGAATAGATAACAGAAATCAAAAGAAACTTTAAAATAGGACACATTTGCATGTCCCAAATTCAACATCACAGGCAGAATTACGTCACCCAGCAAGGGGCTCCAGAGCAGAAGCTGTAAACCATCAGTGCTTTGAACCGACTGTTGAAGCAATGGTTTGGGAATGCCAGTTTTCCTGCTCCCAAAGAAATCAGTGGGAGTTGCATTTGTGGGGGCAAATCATGTTTTTCCTCCCTGCTCCCTTTCCCCAAACTGAAACAGCTCCAGGGAGCTGGCATTTGGCCCTGCTGGGGAAACTGGTGCTTCTTATGAAAGCAGGGAGACTCCCCCCCCCCCATTTTTAGGCAGGGGTATCTGCAGGCTCAGTGGATTCTGCAGCTATGCAGGAAAAATACCACTTTGTAAATTAACCAGAAGGAAAGACTGAGCATGCTCCAGGAGGCATGGGATCAGTGGAGAGGAAAGTTAAATAGGGGAGACAGTAGAGGAAACCATGGGGAGATGGTGAAATCAAAGACCCCTGAGAGTTTAAAGCATCCCGTAAGGGGGAGACTCCAATATGTGTAGGGATTTCCAGATTGTTTAGGTTTGCTAAGTCCCCCCCCTAACCACCACTGGGTGATGGGGGGTAGGATTACCATATCCAGGTTGGGAAACTCCTGGAGATTTGAGGATGGAGCCTGCATTGGTATGTTGAGAACAGCTGACAGTCAAAGAAGGATGGAGATGAGGCAATGTGTTCGCTCAGTTTCCAAATAACTTACAGTACACTGGAGAGACAAATTAAGATCAGGAAGGGGTGGTTTTCCCAGTTTCCCCCAACCTCTCCCCAGTCATGACCAATGATCCCTCTAAGCCAAGGGTGTCGAACTCATTTGTTATGAGTGCTGGATCTGACATAAATGAGACCTTGTTGGGCCGGGGCCATGTGTGTCATAAAATGTAATGCCAGGTAGCGGAGATATAAACTTTATAAAGGATGCAAACACAAAGGTGTTTTTTTTTACTTAAAATAAAAATATGCTTAAAACATTAGTACTCTTACAATATTTTGTTTATTTAACAGTGTCTGATAACGGACACCTCTTGCTCTGAATTATTGCTGTTGCAATCTCGAGTATGCTGTTCAGGTGTGTATCTGTAAGCTGCAAACCTACAGTGACACAGCAGCAGCAGAACTGGAAGAAGAAGCAGAAGACAGCCAATTCCACTGCGGGCCTGATAGAAGCCCTCTGGGGGCCTGATCCGGCCCCTGGGATGCATGTTTGACACCCCTGCTCTAAGCGGTGGAGTCTTGTGAGCAAAAATTCTACTTTGTGAGCTACTGGCATTAAGGTTGTGAGCAAGCGATTTGGCTACTGCATAAGTTAGTTTGCTCTGGAGCCATCCTTCTTGAGCGAGGACAAAAATGAGTGAGCGGGAGGCTAAAAAAATGTGAGCTAGCTCACACTAACTCAGCTTAGAGGGAACATGTTTTGTTTATAAGAACAGTTAACACTGTCTTGCTTGGTGATGAGGTTTTTATTTTGTGTGGCATCCCAGAGTCAGAGAATTCTACTTCGTGGGTCAGTGCAGAAAACCTGGGGATTTTGGGAAGGTACGTGGTTCACCTCCCACTAGAAGAAATCAGGAAAATTAACTCTAATGAAGTAAGTAAAAAAAAAGGGCATATAAATAATGGTTATGAAATATGCAACATCAACGCAACATGGATCCTGAGAGGGCTCTAAGTTAACCACACAGTCAACATGTTCCGAACCACATGTTGGGGCGGGGGGGGGAGTAACCTTTTAACTTTCGTGAGTGCCAGGTGGGTCATCAGGTCCACAGAAAGGGTGACCTCCTAAGCACATTGACTTCACTGGTCTTGCAAGGCTGTAAACTCTGCTTAGGGCTGCATGGTCAGTGTGAGTGTTGGAAAGGGATAGTAGTTAAGAGAGTTGGACAAGAATTGGGGAGGCCAGCAACCAAGTCCCCATTCAGCCATAAAGTGATCTGTCTGTCTGTCTGTCTGTCTCTCCCTCTCTCTCTCTCTCTCTCTCTCTCTCTCTCTCTCTTTTTCAGCCTAACTTAGCTCCATGCTCCTTGGAAGAAAATAGGAAAAAGAGAGAGAGAGAGAGAGAGAGAGAGAGAGAGAGAGAGAGAGAGAGAGAGAGAGAGAGAGAGAGGCACAAACTGGCTCCTTTATTTAAAGACAGAAATACTTTCATGTAGTATGATCTCAAGGGAGGGAAGCTGGCATGCTATAGCCTAATCTTCTCAGACCTCAGAAACTAAGCAGGGCAAGTCTTTGGATGGGAGACCACCAAGGAAGGCTCTGAAGAGGAAGGCCATGGCCAACCACCTTTGCTTCTCACTTGCCTTGACAACCACTTTGCTTCTCACTTGCCTTGACTTATGGGGTTTCATAAGTCAGTTGTAACTTGATGGCGCTTATCATGTGTAGTGTGATATCAAAATAGGGTCCACCATGGGTGGCTCAAAATGTTTTAAAGAAATAAAATCCCATTTGGCACCAGACCAGTCCCAAAGCATTTGCTCAGCCTTTCCGTTAATAATAGTAACTCCTGCAAGGCAAACAAAATGTGGCAGGAAGCAAGTTTGCCTTGAAAGTTTGCTGAGAGCCGATGAATGAAAGAACTGGCATAGCTGTCTATTGGGGTGGTCACTGCAGGCTCTTCAGAGAAACTCTGTAATAGTTATATCATTCATCTTGAATATTTTACGAAGCATCATTAGAATTTTAAATGTCCTTTTCATTCCTTTAATTTTGCATTAACCACATTGGTAAGTTAATTTAAAGGAGGGGGAAAACAGACAACATAATTTTATTCTGAGTTACTCTGGTCTAAGCTTATTAATTTCAGTGGACTTAGATGGGGGTAGCTCTGCATAGGATTGTAGTGTTAGCAGGGGTCATTTCCTGCAGGAGCGCACAGGAGCGGAGCTCCGGCAGTAAAGAGCCCAGGGGGTGGGCACATGCAACAAGGCCCACCCCCTGCTCCCAGCAGCCCTCAGTCAGAGCAAGAAGCAGCACTGGTTAGAAGGTGCACTGGAGTAACTGTGCACCATCCTGAACAAGAGTTACGCTCTTTTTAACCCAGTGACTTCAGTGTACTGAAAAGAATGTAATTCTGCTTAGGATGGCACTATAAGTCACCTTTCCACCTAACAAGGTCCTCAGGGCAAGAAGCCAGGTAGCATATAAAATACAAAACACAGCAAAAATCAGAAGAGTTGGAAGCCTCAACAGCAATGGAGCCAGTGTGGGATAGTGGCAAGAGTGCAGGACTCAGATCTGGGAGATCCTTTTTCAGATCCCCTCTCTGCCATGGAAGCTTGCTGGGGTAATTTTGGGCTAGTCACATACACTTAGCCTAACCCTACCTCATTAGGTTGTTGTGAGGAGAAAATGGAGGAGAAAATGATGTAAGCCGCTTTGGGTCCTCATTGAGGAGAAAGGGGGTGTATAAATGAAGTAAGTAAATCAATAACAGCCTGATTTGGTTTGCCAGGCCCTCCCCTAGTAGAGGCGGGGGTCTCCCACTGCTAGGCCCTGCCCCCCCAGCCACTGATCAGCCGGCTGACAGGACTTACCAGTAGAAAGAAGAAGGCCTAGGCCAAGCTGCCAGTGTTGCACAATAAGTGACTTAATCATGTCAGCGACTTCCAGGCGATGCTCTGGTATTTGGGCAAAAAACTCAATGGTAGAAGCTGGTGGCATGATGATGTCACTTCCTGAGTGACACCAGCGATGTGGTCTAAGCCTTCGTCTTTCTACTGGTAACCCACCCCCATTTTCTGCCGAGGGATGCGCAGTGTTTAGTTCAGTCCAAAGTTCTTCCGGAAAATAGAAGTATTAATTCTGGACTAAATAAAAGTATTCATTCTGGACTAGAAAGCCAGTAGAGTTGTACAGAACTACATAAATATTCATGCCAAAACAGACCTTGTGTTGACCATTTTCTAACGTCCCAATGGTACTTTGCGTGGCCAAGAGGCTATACCAGAACTAAAGGTCTTTTGTCTGTAGTAATTGTGCCTAATATGAATATGATCATGTTTTTTGTTAATCTCGGTTCCTTGTAACACCCACCCCCCTTATCTACACTAATCAGATGAGGCTGTTCATCAGTTACGACAACGCAACCAAGCAGCTAGATACCGTGTATGACATCACACCGGGCCTTGCGCAGGCCTTCTTGGAAAGAATCAACGCCTCAGGATTTGACATGAGAAACACATCAACTCTCTATAGGCAAGAAGACATTTGGCATTGAGTTCTCAGTTGCCTTTTAGAGGGACTTTTTGCAGCCTGGCTGTGAGGACAGGGGGAGCTTTAAAGATTCTGGGTCCCTAAGGAAAAGTCCAGGAGCAGGCCCCAGAATCACTGCCACCCTTCCACACAGCCTCATGCGAGGGGGGTAGTAGCTACCACTGCTGTAGGAAGCTGGCTAACTGAGCCCTGGAGAGGGCAGGCGCAAGGGACAGCGCAAGCTTGCTCTTCTTCCACACATTGGGAGACGAGTGGGGAGGGTTATACCCCCAGTCAGAGGCCTGAGTTTGTTTATTCATTATTTATTTACTGTATTTATATTTTAAATGTATGGATCGCCCAATCCCTGAGTGCACAGGGCTCTGGGCGATTTACAGCAGGTTAAAAATATCATCATGTTGTGTACTGGGATCGATGCGTAGTGAAGACAGACGCTGAGTGATTAGCAGCTCATACTTTACTGGCACACAACACAACAACAAACAAACGGTCGAACAACCAACTATATACAGTCCCCGGTTGCCACCCACAGGTCCCATTGGCGGGTTTGAACTTCCCGCCACAGTTCCTATAGGTCCTGACTAGGAGTCTCAGGATCCTAGTCCCCATTGTTCTTTTGGAGTCAAGCTCCACCTAGTGGCGGTCAGTGGACATAACACATCATGACATTATTAAAAACAACGTTAAGCCCTTAAAACCATCAGTTCTTCCATCTCGCAGGAAGGTTATGGAGGAAGCCAAAGCGGATAAGATGGAAGAAAAGAGGAGGGTGCCAGCTATGGTGAAAAACAGCTGCTGTCCTCAAACAAAAGCCTGGTGGAACATCTCCCCCTTACATAGGGTTGCCAGGTCCCCTCAAAGTCCCCAGCGGGGAACTTTGGGGGGCATTACTGGAGGGGGTGGGGAGTCCCTAATGTGATGACATCATACGAAAGCGATATCATCATGTTGGGGAGAGGCGGAAGGACACAATCAAGACGTTTGTTTGAGTGATCTGTTGGGAACATTTATATATTGCCTCTCTGGAGTCCTGCTTAAGGCAGCTCACAGAGTAAAAGCACTACAGTAAAATCGTTAAATCAACAACAGTGGTGCAAAAGTCTTTTGAAAATATTTTGAAAATAACACAGAAAATTTGCACACAATCGTGGGGTTGACATCCAGCCGTAATAACAACTTAAAGCCACATTCAGCGGTCTAAAATCATATCAATAAAAAAAGCTGTGACGGACCATCAAGAGTTAAGGCCTGTTTGAAGCACCTGTCACTCAAAGGTTCTCAGACTCTGTGAGGCATTAACCCTTGACAGTCCGTCACACAATCCTCCAGTTAGAGAGAGACCATTAAAATACCTTTAAAAGATGGAATCCCTCAGTTAAAATTGGATTGGAATGGGTATGTCATGACTGTCCTCCAGAGACGTCTAGCCTAGCTCTTGGAAAAGCTTTTTCAAATATTCCCTATCACAGGGAGGGAGACTGTGCATGCACACTTCCTGAGTGCATAGACTCCATGCTCGCAAACCAGGAATCAGGCTCCACTGCATTTATGCCCGCTCCCCCTGTTGCGCATTGATCTCTATCTACGTAATGTCCACTCTTGGTACTGCTGTCATTTTGTTGAAAATAATTTGCTACCTGTTGGCCGCCCAGTATATACATGCACGACATTTGCAGGTAAAAATCTGCAGATTTCTCCATTCTCTCACACAGGTTAGGTTTGCTTGTTTGTTTTTATGACAACCTAGAGCAGATGGACGCCACTGTGGCCCGTGTTTTACTTCACCAGATGATTAAATGTAACCAGCTGCAAGGCTTTCAAGCAGGAATCCAAAAGGTGAGGACAGGGTTCGGTTCTTTTTGGCCTGACCACATCAACTTTTATCTAGCTGGAAGAGGAAAGAAGATTCCTTTTCAATTTGGGCCTTTGAGCCCATCAAGAAGGTGTGTTGTTGATGTAAAAGTCTTTTTCAAAAATGTGGCTGCCGATCAGAGAAACAACGGAAAGCCAAGCTCAGAAAACATGCCTTGTTTTATTACCTTCAATGTGGTTTTGCGGTTTCAGCTCAAATCTCAGCTTCTCGATGTTGCCACGGAAAACCAGACCTTGAATGACACCCTCGGGTTGCTCTCGGACGCGGTTGTGGGGCTGACATCCAGTCAGCTGGAATCTCTCTCGCCTGAGGCTGTTCACAACGCAATTTCAACGTTAAACCAAGTCTCCGGATGGGCCAAGAGTCAACTGGTGATTTTAGCCAGCAAATACCTTGCATATGAAAAGGTATGCTTTAAAGTATTTTTCGTAAGGGGAGTCAAAACCAGGTTGCAGTGTTGGCTCTTTGGAGCAAAATTGCCCGGGATAACCAAATCATGGATTTACAAAGAGCATCCTTAAGTTTTCAGTGTGCAATACTTGCTTTTGAATTATGCAAAACTCTTCCTCAGGTTAAAGCAAGATAATAATATTTCGTTTTCCCCGTGTCTGTACAACGAACATAAATATACATTGCCTGGAATAAACACTGAATACAAAAGGTTTCTCCCTTTTAATCTATTTTTAAAATATTCATGTCTACCCAGAAAGGACGTGAGAGGCTCAAAAAAATCTACATTTGATGGGAGAAATCACACTTGAAGGCTTGCTGGTAACTTGCCCTGACTTGGATGCCCCAGGCAAGCCCGATCTCATCGGTTCTCAGAAGCTAAGCAGGGCTGACCCTGGCAAGTGCTTGGATGGGAGACCTCCAAGGAATACCAGGGCCAAGACGCAAGATAGCAAGCCAAGTCTCTGAAATGTCTGAGCTCCACTAAGGGTTGCCAGAAGACAACCAGGCACACACACAAACACACACACAAATACACATTAAAAAGTTATAGCTAATGTGGCAACCCATGGGGTTTCCAAGGCAAGAGCCGAACAGAGGTAGCGACCCTGGATATCCTTGGTAGTCTCCCATCCAAATACTAACCCGGTCCAAACCCAGATCTGACGAGATCGGTCTAGCCTGGGCCATACAGGTCAGGGCCTTGGAGATTTACATGTGCATAATGCACATGTACCAGTTATGGGTTGGCTCCAGAGCACTGTGAATGGAAGGAAATGGACCCTTGTGCGAAGGACATCTTTGGGATTAGTTTCACTTTTTTCCACACACGAGGGACAAAGCAGCTTTTCCTTGAGTGAAAGACGCCTTCATGCAAAAGGGACAAAGAGGTGTAATGGTTTGTGCGTTAGATTCTGGGAGGAGAAAAACCTGGGTTCAAATCCCCATTCTAATATAAAGCTCATTCTAATATAAAGCTCATTGAGCTCCTTGCAAGAAAAGTGGGGGGGGGGGATGTGGTGGTAAACGAAAGGGTGCCCTTTGGATCCAGCCCATTTTTTAAAGCTCTTGTCCTTAGCTATCCTTAATTGCAGGGCAGACAAAAGGGAACACGTCTTCACTCAATGACTTAGTGAATTGTGTAAATCACTGACAGTGCTGCTAGTTGTCGAAGGTTTTCACGGCCGGAGTTCATTAGTTGCTGTAGATTTTCCGGGATGTGTGGCCGTGGTCTTGGCATTGTAGAACCTGACGTTTTGCCAGTAACTGTGACTGGCATCCTCAGAGGTATAAACACAGAAAGATAGAATTCTCCTTGACACAGAGAGTACTCCATCTTTCTGTGTTTATACCTCTGAGGATGCCAGTCACAGTTACTGGCGAAACGTCAGGTTCTACAATGCCAAGCCCACGGCCACACATCCCGGAAAATCTACAGCAACTAGTGCTGGTAGTGATGGCCACAAGCAGATGTATGTATGTAAGCGCCATCAAGCCATAACCAACTTATGGTGACCCCAGCAATGGGCTTTCGAGGCAAGAGAGAAGCAGAGGACATTTGCCATTGCCTTCCTCTGCAATATTTTCTTTGATGGTCTCCCCTCCAAGGACTGACCCTGTCTAGTTTTCGAGATCTGATGAAGTCAGGCTATACACCATACCATTCCATATTGTGACCAACGCTCCCTCTGAGCTATGGAGTCCTGTGAGCAAAAATTCTACTTTGTGAGCGACTGGCATTAAAGTTGTGAGCAAGCGATTTGGTTACTGCATAAATTAGTCTGCTCTGGAGCCATCCTTCCTGAGCTGAGACAAAAGTGTGTGAGCCGGAGGCTAAAAAACTGTGAGCTGGCTCACACTCACTCAGCTTAGAGGGAACACTGATTGTGACCACAAGCATTCTTTTTTTTTTGCCACCAAGTCGCAGCCAACCTATGGCCATCCTGTGGGGTTTTCAAGGCAAGCAAGATTCAGAGGTGGTTTGCCATTGCCAGCCTCTGTGTAGCGACTCTGGTCTTCCTTGGTGGTCTCCCATCCAAACACTGACCAGGGCTGACCCTGCTTAGCTTCTGAGATCTGACAAGATGGGGCTATCCAGGGCTATCCAGTTAGTGATGGCTTTAAATGGAGGTTAGACAGGCTGATGGAGGAAGGGTCCATCAGTGGCCCCAGCCATGGTGAATAAAGGGAACCTCCATATTCAGAGGCATTACAACCCAGTGTAAAGAGGCAATATCAAGGGAGGTTGCTGGCGCTTATGACCTGTTGGTTGGCCCTCCAAGGCAATCGGTCAGCCGCTTTGTGAAACAGTTTCAGGTGGGTAGCCGTGCTGGTCTGCAGGAGAAGATCAAGATTCGGGTCCAGTCGCATCTCAGAGACCAAGAAGATTTCCAGGGTGAAACAGGATGCTTGATTAGATGGACCACTGGTCTGGTCCCATCAGGACTGTCCTTATGCCGTTTTGCATGGGCTTTGCTCTTCCCGTAGGCATTATCATTTCATAACATCAGTCAAATGGGTGCTTTGGTGATGGGGATCGCTGCTGAGTCTTTCCACAGCATGAGCTCCAAAGAGCTCTCCCAGGTGATCAGAGGCACGCTGGCTCAACACGCATCTGATCTGTCACCGGCACAACAACAAGGGATCCTCCGGAAGGTAACGGATTTTCTGTTTGCCCGCATGCTGGTGTCTCCAATCTCTGACTCCGATAGGAATGAATGGGATTAAGCAGCCTCTTGGCATGCAAAGTCTTGCATTTGCTCAGCCTCTTTTGCTTATTGGCTCATCAGTGGCTTGCACCACTTGGTGCTTTTAGTTTTTGCCAAAAATGCAGAAACCCTTTATGGTGTAAAGGATAGCTTCCCTAAGAAAGAGATGGAAAAGAAATCAGCCTGGAATGGAAGCAGCCCTCAGGACATTAGTCTGTCCTGGCTGGGCCACGATTCTGTGGTTAGAATATCTGCTTTGCATGTAGAAGGTCCGAGGTTCAGGCTCCTGCATTTCCAGTCGGAAGGATAAAGTAGCCCATGATGGAGAAGACCTCTGCTTGAGACACTGGAGAGCTGCTGCTGGTTAGAGTTGACAAGACTGATCAAGAGTCTGAGTCAGTAGAAGGCAGCATCCTTTGGGGATCAGCCATGGTTCAGTGGTATGCAGGAAGTTCTAGGTTCAAACATTGGCATTTCCAGCCAGAAGGAGAAACATTGCCAGAATAGACAAGGCTGACCTTGACAGATCAAGAATCCGCTTCAGTAGAAGGTGGCATCATTTAGGAATCGACCATGGCTCATTGATAGAACATCTGCTTTGAATGCAGAAAGTTCCAGGTTCGGTCCCCAGCATCTTCAGTTAAACAAATCAGGTGATATGAAGACCTCCGCCAGAGACCCTGGAGAGCCTCTGCCAGTCAAAGTAGACAATGCTGACCTTGGTAGACCAATGGGGTGACTCAGTAGAAGTTGTGGGGCAAGATTTGCGTTCACGTGCTTTGTATATATGCACGTTGCTAATTTATTGGACTTTGACTCATTTTCTAAGCTGTTTTGAGGGTTGTAGGTGGTGGGAAAGAAATTAAGTCAATAACAAATGGAGGAATTGCAGTATTACAAAGGACGCGATTCCCAGAAATGCTCAGAGCTGAACTGACATAGCTGCCTTCACACTGTCGCAAAGCCCTGCAGAGTTTGTTGAGATGTACTTTGAACAGGAGTCGTTTCTTGAACAGTTGCACGGTTCTTCTCGTGAAAATGAAAGGGAGCTGCACAAGATCAATAAATGATGATATATGCTGGGATGTCCCCTGAATTTCTTCCTTATGAACCTTCTCTAGATGGTTGCATCCGCAGAACTGTCATCGGTGATCGCTGACATCCAAGGAGCCTTTTTCAAAGAAGTTTCTCTTTTCGATTTATGGAAGGAAGAAGGCTTCAACTCTTCACTGGTGAAAGACAAAGAATTAAAGCCCAGTCAGGTACTTAATGCTGATGGTATTTTGCTTATAGATTTGAAGACACAAGGATAGCCGGCTTAGGCCTGGATTTGGTAGGGATTGTTCTTATGGCAAGCCGCTGAGTGGACTGTCCAGTCTAGCAAGCTGAAGGATCTGAAAACAGCTCAGTTACATCAGGGTTGAGTAGTCAGACCAGAAGAATCAGTTTTATAGGACCCAGTGAAAGTCCATTGGCTCATTGAGTCACCTGACCCCATTGAGCTGGTAGCTGTAATATCACCACTTGGCCATCTGCAGTGGTGGCACTGAAGAGCCATAGAGAACAGCCAAGTAGTTCCTCATCTTGCAAGCTATCATAGTGGTGCTTTTAACTCAGAGACCCCGCGTTCAGATCGAGCACCTTATATGCCTGCTCCCCACCAACTAAAGAGATGGTTCAAGCTGAACTAATTAATTTTTTTATGTGTGGCCCATGCTGCTGTTTGGCTTAATTTGTGGATGGTTAGTGTTTAGATTCTGACTGATGTTTTGTGGTTTTTACTTTCAATAATGCTCTTTGGAAACTGATACTTGAGAAACGGTGCAAAAAAATATATTAACAGATATATTTAACAAGCACTTCCTATCAACAGTCCTGTATCTTGATTTCAGGCCTTGTTTCTCTATGAATTATTGTCAAGGAAGACTCCTCCTTCTGACCTATTAAGGTAAGAAATGGGATCATAGACATTGATCTGATCCAGCAGGGCTCTTCTTATGTTCTTAAGTCGAACCACAGGTCTATCGAGCCTCAGTCATGGCCAGGGGTCTTCTCCTAGAAAAAGAGCTGCAGGAGCTCATTAGCACCCATATTTTGCCTCCGTTTCTGAGCGCATCCTATTCTTCCATTCTGCATTCCCTCCTGCTTTCACTCCAGTTTGCGTCGGAGCTTTCTCTTGTTTCTGCATTTGTTTTACAGGAACCTGCATTCAGACTGCTTCCAGCACACTGTTGCCCCACAGCTACAGAAACTGCGATTCTGTGTTCTCATCCGCTTTCGAATCGCTAATCCTTTCTAAAGTAGAATTGTTTCTGTGGGTATTTGAGTGCTGCCCACTGCCCTCCCCCCGTTTCCGCCTCTCTCTCTTTAGGTTGACGCTCCCTCCCTGTTCTGTTTTGTTTCCCTCCTTCTCCAAAGACAAAAGAGGACGTGTCCTCCCACTCTGGCAAACGTTTAAAAAGCCAGAGAGAGCATAAGAAGGGATCAGTAAATATGAAGGACTAGGGGATTCCATGCTCCCAAATGTGTCCATCTTGCATGTGCGGGCCTGGATTCCCCCCCCCCTTTCCCTTTCTTGTTGCAGAATTATGGAGGGAGGAAAAGGTTGGCAGCCAGTTAGCTCAAAAAATGTGGGTTTTGCTTGTAGATGCAGAATGCATACAGAATATACAGATAAATAAACCAGAGGAGAAAAACCAGTGCAGAGGGAATGCAAGGAAATGTGAAGTCAACCCTTAAGGCTTGACTCCTCGGATTCTCCAGAGCTAGCCGTCAGTGCAGAAAGGGCCAAATTGACTCAGCAAACATTCCCATGAATGTAGATAATCCTTTTTGTAATGGAAGGATGAAGTGGATCTCAGCCTTTGAAAGCTTATGTCCCCTGAAAAAGTTAGTCTTCTATGTTTGAGTTCCAGAGTTTGGGGGGCACTGGGCAGAGAGTTCTTGGGGGACCCCTTCCCACCCACGCAGCCATGCGCCCCCTTTTCTGCCCGTGCATCCTTCCCCTGCCCCACTAGCAAGTCCTCCCACTGCCCATGCTTACAGCCAGCTGCACTGCCCTCAGCATTCCCCCTGATGGCACCGGCCAGAGTGTGCAGCCGGGACCATGAGCGATGGAGTTCTCACAAGTGAGCGGGGGGGGGGCAGGCTGCCCCACCTGAAGGCATGCTGATGCCGGACCTATTTGAGTCCTGTACAGCGTTCCGTGCGCCTCGGTGTTTAGTCATGCCGGCCACATGACCACGGAAACGTCTTCGGACAGCGCTGGCTCTTCGGCTTTGAAACGGAGATGAGCACCGCAACCCTAGAGTCGGACTCGACTGGCTTTCGAGCAAGGGAACCTTTACCTTTACCTTTTTTACTTTTCTTCAGTCATCGGGCCAGAGAGAGAGTGTGTCAACAGTGCTGTCAAAGTTTTATGCTCCAAACACAGCTAGAAAAATGGACACAGGTGGTTCACACCAGGGGATCAGGAACCAGCCACAAATTAAGTCGTTGTGGGCTGTTCACTGACAGAATTAGACAGACTTGTGGCCTGTACTGTATATTACTGTTTTCCTTGTGTCCTCTCCAGGGTCCGTGCAATCAGGTTTGTTTGCTTTTTATTTTGTATGAGTCCGCAGAACCATCCGCTGATTCAAATAACACAATGATACAGTCCTAAAAACGACTGTGGGTATTAAAATATGCTCCTCATATCTTTCGTCTGTCTCCTTAAAGAGATAATAAATCTTATGGCGCTTTCCCAAGAGAAAGGAAAAGAGGCTGTAAAGCTTGTAATATGTCCGACAGCATGTTATGGGACATGAAAAGAAGGGAAATGTATCTGTTTCTTTAATAGTTTCTTCCACAGGGATGGGATTTTGTGGTTTCCCCATTGCAGGTGCAGCTTTAGATGGCAACGGGGCTTCCATATTGCAGGATCCCCTGCAGTTTCCCTGCCTTAACCCCCTGGAAGTGGCCACCCCTCCCCGGGCACCAGGTCTTTTGCAGTTTGTTTTTGAAATCAGCGCTCAAATATCCTTATAAGCAGGACTCTTTTTGTAGCAGGAACTCCTTTGCATATTAGGTGACACACCCCTAATGTAGCCAATCCTCCAACAGCTTACAGTAGCCCCGAAGAGCTCTGTAAGCTCTAGGAGGATTGGCTACATTAGGGGTGTGTCACCTAATATGCAAAGGATTTCCTGCTACAAAAAGAGCCCTGAATTATCAGGATATACTGTTGTACTGCCCTGATCTCTAGCTTGATCTCGTCAGATCTTGGAAGCTAAGCAGGGTCGGCCCTGGCTAGTATTTGGATGGGCGACTTCCAAGGAATACCAGGGGCATGAGGCAGAGGCAGGCAGTGGCAAACCACCTCTGAAACGTCTGTTCCCTTTAAAAACACAAGCCTAGCTCACCACCTAGCGGTGCATAATGCTAAAAGAGCTAGAACTTCTGCCTGCGAGACAATCTTAGGATCTCCTGGCTATACTACACACACTGCCATTCAATAATGAGTGAATTAATTATGGTTGTACCAACAGGTGTCTCTGTTTCTCTAAATTCATAGCTTTCATTTTTTTTGAAAAGGAAGTTTCTAGCCCCTGGGAGAGGTTGTGGCTCTGTGGTAGAACATCTGTTTGGCGTGCAATAGGTCCCAGGTTCAATCCCCAGCATCTCCAGTTTAAAGGACCAGGCAACAGGTGATGTGAAACACAGCTCTGCCTGAGACCCTGGAGACCCAGTGCCAGGCTGAGGAGACAATACTGACCTTGATGGACCAAGGGTCTCATTCAGTAGAATGCAGTTTCAGGTGTTCACGTCTTCCCTTGCCTTTTACCTTATAGGGCAGCAAGAGTAGGGGCCAGAGACTTACATTTTTAAAAATAAACGCTCGGAATTCAGAGAAACTGCTACACCTGTTGGTACAACGGCATATCGATATTCTAGGGCAGATTTTTAAAATAATAAGATGCCACAGTGGCTTGGGGGAGAAAACTGCAGCCACGGCAGCAGGATCAGGGGGAAATGGCTGCCAAGTGGGCTGGAAAATCCAGACTTTCCCAAATACCCAGCAGCCATTTAGGTTTTACTGAGATCTTTCCCAAAGCCTTGGAGCAGAGCAGGTTTGAGAAAGAGTGGAGAAAAGCCACAGAAAACCCTAGAGGTGCAGAAACGCACCAGAATACTGTGGGGAAATGGGGGGGGGGGGACACTGCTTCCCAAAATTATTGAACTTGGGCCAGATAACCCATGTGGAAGACACCGATGTAAATGTAAATCCTTTTCCAAGTTCACTAGTGGCTTGTGTGTCTTTTGCTCTCTTTGGCCTCAAGTTGTGTTATTTTAGCAGTCATTAAATGATTCCATACTCTTCCTTAAGCTCTCGTGCTAGACTTACTTTGTATGTACATATCTTTTTTTTTTTTAATCAGCATTGCCCAGTTGGTGAAAGGAGTAACCTGTCGGCAGATTGAAAGTATGGGCACCATCTCATTTCTAAATGTTTTCAAAGTTTTTGAAAAGAATCTACGTTTACTTTCACCGTACCAGGTAAAAACCAAAGCCTTCTGTTTACTTTATTGTAAGGTGATGCACATTGGGACAAAGAAAATCCCAGCTTAAAGTATAAGCTACTGGGTTCTGAACTTGTTGAGACCGAGAGGGGAAATGATCTTGGGGCTGTAGTGGATAGCTCAATGAAAGTGCCAACCCAGTGTGCTGCAGTGGCAAATTCTGTGTTAAGGATCATTAGGAACCGAGTTGAAAATAAAACAGCCAATGTTGTAATGCCCCTGTATACTGTGTACAGTTCTGGTCACCGTATCTCTGAAAGGACATTGAAGGGTTGGAAAAAGTACAGAGGTGGGTAACCAACATGATCAGGGAGTTGGAGCACCTTGCCTATGAGGGAAGGCTGAAGAGTCTGGGACTTTTCAGTTTAGAAAAGAGATGACTAAGGGGGGACATGATACAGGTTTATAAAAGTATGCATGGGGTGGAGAGAATTGACAAAGATAAATTTTTCTTCCTTTCCCCAAATACTAGAACTGGAGGGCATCCAATGAAGCTGATGGACAGTAGGTTTAGGACAGACAAAAGGGGAACTACTACTTTACACAGAGAATGATTAAAATGTGGAATTCGGTGCCAGAGGATGTAGTGATGGCCATAGGAGTAAACAGCTTTAGAAGGTGATTAGACAGATTCATGGAGGATAAGCCTATCAATGGCTACAAGCCATGGTGACTGAGGGGAACCTCCGTCTTCAGAGGCACTAAACCTCTGAATCCCAGAGCCAGGAGGCAGCATCAGAGGAAGACCTTGGCTTCCATGCCATGGTCCAGAGGAGCTGGTTGGCCACTGAGTGAGACAGGATGCTGGACGAGATGGACCACTGGTCTGATCTAGCAGGGCTCTTCTGATGTTCTTATTTTGTATGTGCTGAAAACCTTTTAAGTTGCCACCATGATGAACTTGGCATTTGTCCATAACACAGGGAGACCTATAAATCCATAGTTTCAGGCAGGTAGCTGTGTTGGTCTGCCGGTAGGGTTGCCAAGTCCCCCGTGGCCACTGGCAGCTGGGGGGTAGGTTTGCCAGATCCAGGTTGGAAAACTCCTAGAGATTTGGGGATGGAGCCCGTTGGAAGTACAACGTTGTAGAGTCCACCCTCCAAACCATTAGTTTTCTCCAGGGAAATTGATCTCTGTAGTCTGGAGATGAGCTGTAATTCCAGGCGATCCCCAGGTCCCATGTGGAGGCTGGCATCCCTGTGAAAAGAAATCCAGAAGAAAATCATCCAGTAGCACCTTAAAGACCAGCAAGGGTCCCAGGGTATAGGCTTTTGAAAGCCGAGAGTCAAAGCTATCTTTGTCAGATACTGCCAGGTATCTGATGAAGGAAGCTTTGACTCTCAAAAGGTTATATCCTGGAAACCTCATTGGTCTTTAAGGTGCTACTGAACTTGAATATTGTTCTTCTATAGATATACAGAACATAGGCTTTACTACGCAAACGCATACATATGTATGTATACACCTATATACATACATATGTATATGAAACTGCTTCTCCCAAGTTAGTGCTCTGGTCCTGCCAAGGACTAGACTTCTGTATGTAAAGAATGTGCTGTATTATTAAGCCAAGGGCCCACCATTTTTCCAGTTTACAAATATGTACATTTTCTGTTTTCAGTTGCTTCTGTCTTAAATTAAGTCAGTTGTTCAGAAAGTTGACAGGCGCAGGAGATTATTCTGCCATATTTCATCAACAAAATTTCTGTACAGCTGACTAGGTGACGATCACTTCCATATACTGCTCTATATAGCGGGAAAGTAACCACTAAAAAAAAGAAGACGTCCTGCCCAGTCAGAGAGGTGTTTCGTTACAGTGGCAATTGATCAATACTACAGAGAGGTCTTGTTATCTCCTTTACAAGCAATGAGCAATCCAAGAGCCAGTCAGTCAGTCAGCCATTTATTACAGCAACAAGCCATAGAATACACATGGTTGTTCAGAGTGAAATTGCCGAGGCAAAGGATGGAGAGACATGGTGCTATAGTAGAAAAGCCAGCAAATAAGCCATGTTACAACCTCTTTTGCTTTGTTCCTATAATTCCAGGGGGGTGGCTGTGCTGGACTGCAATAGGAGAGCAAGATTTGAGTCCAGTAGCACTTTAAAGACTTTAAAAACAACATTTCTAGGTTATAAGCTTTTAAGAGTCAAAGCTCCCTTTGCAAGATGGGATTCAAACCTTGCCAATTTGGTGTAGTGGTTAAGTGCATGGACTCTAATGTGGGAGAACCAGGTTTGATTCCCCACTCCTCCACTCGCAGCTGCTGAATGACCTTGGGCAATCCATGGTTCTGATAAGAGCTGTTCTTGGAAAAGAGCAGTTTCTGTCAGAGCTCTCTCAGCCCCGCCTACCTCACAGGGTGTCTGTTGTGGGGAGGGGAAGGGAAAGGGGTTTGTAAGCTGCTCTGAGACTCCTTTGGGTAGTGAAGGGTGGGGTATAAATCCAATCTCTTCTTTTCTCTTCTTCTTCGATAGATGATGATTATGATGATGTAGAAGAAGAAGACAGACAGATGATAGTGATGATGAAGAAGATAGATTGATGATGATGATGAAAGATAGATAGATGATAGATGAAAGATAGAAAGATAGATGATTCTGATGGTGATGAAGAAGAGGATAGATGGATGACGACGATGATGAAAGATAGATGATGATGATGATGATGAAGATGAAGAAGAAGAAGAAGAAGAAGAAGAAGAAGAAGAAGAAGAAGAAGAAGAAGAAGAAGAAGAAGAAGAAGAAGAAAGAGGGGGGGGAGAGACTGCCTTTCTGCAGGTCAGTCCTCTGGTCCTGTCAAAGATTGAATTTCTTTATGTAAGAAATGTGTATAATGACGATGACGACAATGACGATAAGCTAAGGCTTGTCGCAATTCAGGTTTAGTATCTTACCGAGGGAGCGCTTGACTCTCGAAAGCTCCATACCATGGAGATCTCGTTGGTCTTTAAGGGGCTACTGGACTCGAATCCGGCTTTCCTACAATTTGGCAAGAGAAAGAATGATTCTTTAAAAGTATCTTGGTGTGTTTCCCCCCCCAGATCAATTGTTTGGCATGGAAATTTTGGCTCATCTCCAACGTATCCATTCCTCCTTATCTCTTATCTGTTCTCCCGTAAGTTTTTCATTTTAACCGCTTTTTATGTGTAATTGTTTTTCCCTTAACAATTTTAGTGGTGGGAAAATGTGGAACTGAAACATGATATATAACTAATATGCTTTCATACATGTTAAATTCCACTCAAAAAGCTTGATTCCTTCCTTCATGCATTCTGCATGCAGCAGATCCCCAAATTTGCTCCATTGCTCTATTTCACCATTCCACCTTCCTTGTTTTAAATCTTTCCTTTAGTGCTGAATACCTGGAATCTCTTACGGGATCTCTCTGTATCCCTTTTGTGAACAGCCTGGGGAAAGTTGAACTGGATCAACTTATTGT